TTTATTTTCGAGAAGTCCACACCAATCACCTGATGATGACAAGAGTACGAACTTCTCGGATTTTCCTCTGCCCACGTTCGAAAATTTCTACGGTTAAGTATGCCATTAGAGGTGAACTTGGATTCATCAGCCCATAGGTATGGAAGAACGTTTTCTTCAGCCTCCCAAATCGACAATTGTGCCTATCATAATCAGAATGCCGAAGACCCTGGAAGATGAGAGCGATACCACTTAAAATTGTGATTTCGGAGTGCATGTCTATTTTTATTTTTTGAAAAACCTAAAACCCTTCTAACATTTCGGATAGAGGAATTCGGATTTTCGCGAAAATACAGTAAAATATTCAGCCCGTCGTCGAAATTACGCTGCCGGATTCTTTTTGCCAAATTTAAAATCCGATTGCAACATTGTTTTCAGCGTAAAATACACTTTAAAATGATGTGTTAGGAGCATATTTTAAAAATAATTTTGAAGTTGAACTGGGCCTGAGGTACCCAGTATAATTTTTCTACAAAAAATGTAAACATTTGAAACTAGTCTAAAAATTATTAAACATGTATCTGTTTGATAGCGTCATTGGTTCAAGAGAAATTCACACGGAACATCTAAGAAGGACACCCTGTATAAAACCTACCTTTTTAGTGAATTCCACCTTTTTAGCGATTCAGGAAGTACCTTGTAATATTGATGATAGGTAAGTCAGTCAGCAACAAATATGCAAATTTTGAAATCCTCCCCTTTGGAACAGGTTAAATATAAGTGCTCAAATTTTTACAATATTCTAAGCGACTTAATCTATGTTTCAAATTCCAAAAGCCCATGTTAAGAGGAAGCAGAGATATGAGGGTGAGAAAAACTAAGTGAATTGGTTCGTGTAAAGATACACAAGGCAGCTTGCTGGAACTTGGCCACTGCGCACTGCCATGCGTTCAGATTTTTATTTTGAAAAGAAAATCGTTTAAACAAGTCATTTATGTATGATGTTTTTGAGGTATCGAGTTGAAATAATTCATTTTCAAAACTATTGATATTGTATATTTGATTATTTGAGAGAATACTACATTCTATTTATGGTTCAAACTGGTGGCTCATTTATTTTTTCGTTCCTAAATCCAGCTCCAATGAACAGCAAGTTGTTTTTTTATTTCTTAGGTGGAGTTAGATTAAAATGACTTTTTTTTTGCAAAAAATATGAAGTTATGTATCGCTCATTTCCAAGTGTGTTCTAATTTGAATTTAACACCGTAGCCCGTTTCTCCATCGTTAAATTCACCTTAGGTCTTCTCTACGTGTCCGGACACCTCGGCTTTCGTCTTGCCGTCGTCGGATTTGAAAACTTCCTGCCTTCCGTCAACCCTGACCTTGGTTCCACCTTCATCTACCTTTTTCACATCTAACGAGATGCCTCCCTTCAGTTCCTAGCATAATCATAATTAAGAGAATCGATAAATATCTAATGGATAATTCAACTCACGTGTGAATTATGTGGCTCAGCTTGGATTGCGATAAGAGCCCCAAGAGGAAGAGCAATGCAATTTTCAAGCTCATTTTGATCTATATCTCTGACAAATAACGTTAATTAAACCAAACATGACAACATTTTATGAAAACAGACCAGACAACAATAGATTTTTTGGAAGGTAAAATGGAATTATACGTTTTTAATAGGCCCTCCTTTATGCGGAGATCTATGTGAGAGACATTCTTGAGAAATATATGCTGCCAATATTGGCCTGTTATTGGCGAGTAATGTTTGTTTATGCAAGTTAATGCAATTACACGTTTCTAGCTATTCGAGAAGTACCTTATAATTTTGATGACAAGTAAGTCAGTTACAAATATGCAAATTTTGAAATTCTCCCTTTTCGAACGGGCTTAATATTAAGTGATAAAATTTTTATAATATACTAAGCGACCTAATTATATAAAATGTATAAATGTGTATATAAATACACAAAACAATTATATATAAATGTATAAAATAAATATATATATAATGCCTACTTAGCTTAGGTCCCTTAGTATATTATAAAAATTTTACCACTTAATATTAAGCCTGTTCGAAAGGGGAGAATTTCAAAATTTGAATATTTGTAACTGACTGACTTACTTATCATCAATATACACACACATTTTATATATATATATATATATATATATATATATAAAGTTGTAAATTTGACTTGCGGTTGTAACTTATATATATATATATATATATACACATACGTACAGCTTAATTATGTTTCAAATTCCTAAAGCCCATCTTAAGAGGACGCAGAGCTAAAAGGGTGAGAAAAACTAAGTATATTCTGAACTGGTTCATGTAAAGATACACATGGCGGCCTGCTGAAACTTGGCCAGCACACTGACGTGCGCTCAGATTTTTATTTTGAAAAGAAAATCGTTTAAACATGTCATTTATTTATAATGTTTTTAAGGTATCTAGTTGAAATAATTCATTTTCAAAACTAGTGATAGTGTATATTTGATTATTTGAGAGAATACTACATGCTATTTATGGTTCAAACTGGTAGCTCATTTCTTTGTTCGTTCCTAAATCCAGCTCCGATCAACAGTTGTTTAGGTGGAGTGTAGATTAAAATGACTTATTTTTGCAAAAAATATGAAGTTATGTATCGCTCATTTCCAAGTGTGTTCTATCCTGAATCCACCACCTTTTCTCGTTTGTCCGTCGCTAAATCTACCGAAGTTCCTCTCCACGTGTCCGTACACCTCGGCTTTCGTCTTGCCGTCGTCGGATTTGAAAACTTCCTGCCTTCCGTCAACCCTGACCTTGGTTCCATCTTCATCTACCTTCTTCACATCTAACGAGACGCCTCCCTTCAGTTCCTAGCATAATCATAATTACGAGAATATATCGATAAATATCTAATGGATAATTCAACTCACGTGTGAATTATATGGCGCAGCTTGGATTGCGATAAGAGCTGCCAAGAAGAAGAGCAATACAATTTTCAAACTCATTTTGATCAATATCTCTGACAAATAATTAAACCAAACATGACAACATTTTATGAAAACAGACCAGACAACAATAAATTAGATTATTCTTCTTACATGTGTTTGCCAGAAGCTTGCCGAGAACTGTGACCTGCAAGGATTAGATCCGTCTTATATCTGAATTTTCCTGGGTTTCACGGTGTTTCTTGGGAGGAACTGATAATTTCAGCCAAAATTATCAGTTCTTTTCACGAATAATTAATTATATTTAGAATGAGTTTACATGTACAAAGAAAATATTAATATGTAATTTATTTACAGTGAAAAAATTCCTTTCGTATGGTCTTGAGGGAACCAATTGAAGAAAGCTTACGTTGATAAATTTTATTGGGTTGATATGAAATGGTGAAAATAACTTATTAACTTTTCTTTCAACTTGTTTGTCAGACGCTTCCCGAGAACTGTGATCTGGAAGGGTTACGTCCATCTTATATCCGAATCTTCCTGCGTTTCACAAGGTTTCTTGAAAGGAATTGATAATTTCAGAAAAAAATCAATCTCTGTTCTTTTCACAATAATTAATATATTTAGACTGAGTTTATATCTATAAAGAAATTGATTTACTAGAAAAAATTCCTTTCGTATGGACTTTAGGGAAAACAAAAAAACTGAAGAAAGTTTACGCTGACAAATCTTATTGGCTTTAAGGCAATTTGGCATTAAGAAATGGTAAAAATAATGTGTTTCTTGAATAGCAAACATTTTTAAATTATTTACATCAAAACTCAGTTTGTTTCTAAAACTCAAAAAGTATCAAACGTACGAAATTACAAAAGAAATATGGCCAATTTAAAGAAGAATTAAAAATTGCGCTACTTTTCTTTTTTATGTGGAGGCATTTAAGCTCGCATGTCACTATTTTTCTACGGCACTTTTGACGGATTGATATGGCCGTCGACGCCAATAAATACACCGTTAAAAGATTATAAATTTCATGTCCCGAGAAGTGATAAACGCGTAAGTTTGAAGCTACAATTAATTAACTGGAAATGGATTATAAAGGCGTATAAAATCTATCCATTCTGACGCTGCCCAGCGGGGTCCCTTTTTCAAAACTCGTTACTTCTGTCTTAATTTCTCTTATCCTTTTACAGATATTAAAAGTCGTGGGTCGAAACGCGACCGATAGATTAAAGGGCGAACTATCATTTAATAGAAAATACCAACTCGATCCGTCGAGAGTACTAAAATACGCCCTATTTTGACAGATTCGATACGGCGTGTGTGTCCAGGTGACAAATCGGCTTGTAAAACCGTTTGAAGGTTATTTGTAAGAGTTTACAACTATGTTGAATCTCAAGCATTTTTTATTAATATTTCGTCACCGACAGATTTATTGTCTGTTTTAACCCACACTCAGCCTTGGAAAAATGGCCTTTGTCGACAAAGCAAACCAGCATTTAAAAAAAGGTTAAAAACAGTCAACACTATCACAAAATAGTATCACCTACCTACAAAACATTTTGAGCCAATATTTCAAACTGATTTTCTGCTGAGAGTATTAGCATACAGGTCCTACAATGAACGCAGGAAAAAATGGTTAGCCACATATAAAAATCTACAGAGTATATCACATGTTTGTAATTTCATACGTTTGAGACTTTTTTAGTTTTAGAAACAATTTGAGTTTTGAAGAAATAATTTAAAAAGGTTTCCTATTCAAGAAACACATTATTTTCACCATTTCTTATCAAGCCAATAAAATTTGTCAACGTAGGCTTTCTTCAATTTTTTTGGTTTTCCCTCAAGACCATACGAAAGGAATTTTTCCTAGTAAATAAATTTCTTTACAGATATAAACTCAGTATAAATATATTAATTATTGCGTAAAGAACAGAGATTGATTTTTTCTGAAATTATCAGTTCCTCCCAAAAAACCCTGTGAAACCCAGGAAAATTCAGATATAAGACGGATCTAATCCTTGCAGGTCACAGTTCTCGGCAAGCTTCTGGCAAACACATGTAAGAAGAATAATCTAATTTATTATTGTCTGGTCTGTTTTCATAAAATGTTGTCATGTTTGGTTTAATTATTTGTCAGAGATATTGATCAAAATGAGTTTGAAAATTGTATTGCTCTTCTTCTTGGCAGCTCTTATCACAATCCAAGCTGCGCCATATAATTCACACGTGAGTTGAATTATCCATTAGATATTTATCGATATATTCTCATAATTATGATTATGCTAGGAACTGAAGGGAGGCGTCTCGTTAGATGTGAAGAAGGTAGATGAAGATGGAACCAAGGTCAGGGTTGACGGAAGGCAGGAAGTTTTCAAATCCGACGACGGCAAGACGAAAGCCGAGGTGTACGGACACGTGGAGAGGAACTTCGGTAGATTTAGCGACAGACAAACGAGAAAAGGTGGTGGATTCAGGATAGAACACACTTGGAAATGAGCGATACATAACTTCATATTTTTTGCAAAAATAAGTCATTTTAATCTAACTCCACCTAAACAACTGTTGATCGGGGCTGGATTTAGGAACGAAAAAAGAAATGAGCTACCAGTTTGAACCATAAATAGCATGTAGTATTCTCTCAAATATACACTATCACTAGTTTTGAAAATGAATTATTTCAACTAGATACCTCAAATTCTTTATCAAGCCACGTTTCGATCTTTATTGAGATCATCAGAGAGAAGATGATCTCAACAGAGATCGAAAAGCTGGCATGATAAAAAAAAAATGTTTTTCTAATACCTACGTCACACCAGACCGCATCTCACGATCTCCAAATAATTAATAAAGAAATATTACAAAAAATATGTACTGCCTTGAGTATAATTTATTTAGTAAATTAAAAAAAATTATTGTATTGATCAGTATAATACTCGCTTAAATTAGTATCTAAAGCCAAATGCGGTTCGTAAGAAATTAACTAAGTTGTTAAAGCCCCTTAATCAATTTGTTAGGCTAAACGCTTTTCTCATCCGTCTGGCGGGATCTTTCTTTTTATGCACTTTACTTGGTTGGAAGTCTGGAAGAATAAACCTGGGTTTGAGCTTCTCCAACTAACTCATTCATCGCCGTTAATGTGTATACACTGCTGTAGAGAAACGCAGGGGTACAATTTGAACAAAGGTATGAAATCGAATTAAAATCAGTGCTGTTAGTTTAATTATTGTTGTTATTGCAATTGTGCGATATGGATATATTTCAAATTAATTGAGACAAACAAAGGAACAAAAGGGGTGAAGAGCTGTTATTGGCCTTATTGGTTTATTGGGCCTTGTTATTTTCTTTTACAGCATCCAATCAATAGGGGCATGTTTCGTGGCAATAATAATGGAAGCCCTTAGTAAAGCCGATTCTCTCTCACTCACTCTCTCTCTCTCTCTCTCTCTCTCTCTCTCTCTTCTTTCTTTCTCAGAACTTTCTCCCGGGATCTATGAAGAAAGATTCTTTTTGTGAATAGCCTGTAGTCCTGATTTATCCGCCCCATGTATCAAACTCCTCGTGCATTAGTCCAGGGCTCTCCCTGCTCTACTCATTTCCGTAAATTATCGCTTTCGGCCTGATCGGAAATCGATGTCACGTCATAAGGGGCGATGGTCGTTTGGTGAGCTCAATTGTGTAAAAGTATGTAATTGTAAACGATGCCTCATTACAAACGAACTACGTTTACTAGATTCCCATATACATGTCATCAATGCTTGTGCACTGGAAAATCTTAAAAGAGATTACACTGGCAAAAAAATCCTCATAAGATCTGATTGCCAAGCAGCCATTAAAGCATTAGCATGTAAAATAATCGCATCAAAATGAGTTAGTGAATGCATCCAAAATCTCCAAAACCTGGGGAAACACAACAACCTGATGATATCTTGGGTGCCAGGGCACAGGGGAATTTTGGGTAATGAGAAAGCAGACAGTCTGGCCAGAGGAGGATCTACAAGACCATACATAGGCCCCGAACCTATTCTTGGGATAACAAAAACAATATAGGATCCTCCATCGCAGAATGGATCCAAACAAAACAAAAGGAGATGTGGATAAACTCCAGCGGCGCTAGACATAGTAAACTTATGATGAAACAACTTTCACCAAGACTGGCAAAAGCATTGCTGCGATTGGAGAGGGACAAACTCAGAGGTAGGACTACTAACCGGTCACTGGCGTCTGAGAAAACATCTACACAACGTGCAAATTATATAATGAAGAGGAGGAAACAGCCACCCATATCACCTTCGAATGCGAAGCAACAGCTCAATGGAAATTTAACCTAACATATGGAAAAAACTTAGGGAATCAAATTGCAGCAGCGACAGTCAATGACCAGGAAAAGGATTGAGTCTATTGCACTGAACTAAGGAACTAGGAAGGTACAATAAGCCAAAAGGCTGCAGTGCCTGGGGAGCGCAAACCTCCTTTTTATCATATCATACCATAGATTAGCGTATTAACACAAACAGGAAGCAAAGGGGAAAAATATTATTCGAAATAGTTATGGATATTTAAAATAATTTTATTGTGTTCCAGGCGGGAAGAGTGATTTCCGAGCAAAACTGTAATATTCTAAATGAGGTGGAACAGCTAGCAGATGGATGGATGTGAACGTCTCCACCGACAGTCCTATCTACATTGGGGCAGTAGGAAATGTAAAAGTTCACCCTCCTCTTGTGAAAGGTCACGTTGGAATAGTAAGACAATCATCATGCTGGCAAGTTTTCATAACTTGTAACTCCCCTGAACGCTTGAAGGTCTTCTCAAGGGAGTCTGTACAAAAAGAAAGGAGCTATGGAATGACTCTCTCTTCTGTGGGCATAAGAGGTCTTTCTTGAAATTGAAGCTTTTTATAGTTAATTAGATGACTAATTAAAAAAATGAGAGAGAGAGACATCTGAGATTTGGTTTAATTCATATGATCAGTTCTCACCTCTATGTCAAGCATTGCCTTTAGGAGTTTGATGGTGTGCCAGCAACGCAGTATTGATGTGACCTTCGGGATACTGTGACCACGTGCAATGCCGAACAATCAAGTTGGGTGAATGTGTGGATGTTCTATTTGTCAATCTATTTAGTTCATTGTCGTTTCTTAATTTTCATCGTAAGGGGTTATTAAGATTATTTTGCTAACTGATGTTCGTTCGATTTATTGTTGACGATTAGGGCCGTTTAGAGTTGAGCAATTTAGTTTAGTTTTATTGGTAAGGGTTATTACATGATGAAGAAAAAAGGTCAACACACACACACACACACACACACACACACACACACACACACACACACACACACCGATGGGAGCAAGGAGAGAACTAGTGTTGTTCCTATTTTGTTGAGTTCTAGACTAGGCGGTGATTTTCTATAAGTCCCTGGTATGCTGCTGAAAGATTGCTTCGTCTCTTTCTCATTGGTGAACGCATACAGTCGGAAATAATTATGTTCTAAAAGCACAATATGAAACTTTGCTAGATCAACAAATTGTACCTATAGCTTGTCGACTCTGACAGATCTAGCAGGCCAGTATAATCAGATACTATTGAACAACATAACATATTTGCTTTTATTGCGAAAAAGGTATATCTTTCACTATAACTGTGCTCATAAAGTTTGAAAATTGTATATAATTAAAGGTTTAATCCTTTTTCCTTATCGAAAATTTGCAATAAATTTAACTTCTAGGAAGTCGTTTTTATATGACGGTTAACCATGCAAATTAGTAAAAGGTTGGAAATAGGTACGATCATGTAGCGTTATCTCGAGTTCTGATTTACGATTTTTTTGTCAAATAACTCGTAAAAACTGCGCAGATGATTCATAAAGATATACAGCCAGCATGCAGTTACTATAAAATTTATCGACCCGACGCCCTGTAAGGCAGTTGTTCTCAAAAAGGCGATTCATTAAGATCTTCTCAGTAATATTTTGATTTGAAACATATATCAAACGTGTCCCAAAAGAAAGATTCCATCATCTCATCGGAAATAACTTCGACACAGTTACTATCTATACTCTCACGGCTATTTCAGGACGGTTTTGTTTTACTAGAGTTTACGAGACGAACCCTTTCCTGGAATGTGGTCGCCAGAAAGTAAACTACCTGAAATAGTTGGCGCAATTTAGATAGCTGGCCGTCCATTCCGATTTTAATTCCTTACCTCCGGCCAATAAAAACTCCATAAAACGACAAATTTTATCACTTCATTTGGAATTTTAGGCAATTTTCAAATTAAAATCTATTTCCTTTCCACGACAATGTGCAATAACATTTTTTTTTTATTTCGCTGTGATAGAAATATAAAAAAATAATAAAATTTTCTGGTTTGTAAGAGAAAAAATGTAGTGCTTAGTTACTAATGGAATCCGTAATTTTTTCATTACAGCCTGCTTTCCGTATGTGTAAATACCTGTGCCAAATAGCAGATGTTAAAAAAAATATATATAAAATAAATAAATACTAATATAAAATTGAAAAATAAAGACTATAAAATAAATAAAATAATAATATAAAAATAATAAAGTAAGTATTAATAGAAAGAAACGTAACCTATTAAGTCAAGAAAGTATAAATTTTTCTTAACTGGCAAACGTTCTGAAATTACTTATATTAAAGAAGAAAAAATTTTAAGAAGAAGAAAATAAATTTTATTCTGGAGTTTTGGCCCTCTTGAATAACAAAAAAGTACAAGATTTGGCACAATTCGTGTCACGATGAATGCATGTAATAAAGATTTCAATGTAATATCGTAAAAATAAATAAGTACTAAATTAAATAATATGGGGACAAAATTAACAGAAAATTAATTATCCTCGGTGTTAAATTGTAGGAAGAGGATGTAGTAAAAAAAGCGGGAATTAAAGGTGGAAAGGGTTGATACACTGCGAGTATTGTTAGGCAGAGAATTCCAGGGGTTGTATGTATAAATATAGGAAGGGAATAAGAAGAAACTGTGATAGAGGAAGGAGCAAAGAAAGAATCCTGCGATAGAGGGGTGCAGCCGTTTCAAACTAGACATTAGACACAGGAGATCTCTTGGAGTAGCTAAATATGAACTGAAGAAAGCCCTGATTTTGTTGGGTCTGTTAACAAGTTCTCTGGTGAGTCCACCATAGACAAACAACCATTATGGAAATGGAGAAGCACAAGGTAGGCGACCAGGAGATTGAGGGTGCTTACTGGAAGTTGGCTTGCTTGACGGAATTGTCGATGAGTGGAGCAACACCGGCGGGAAATTTGGGATTTTCAAGATAGGGTTGGATCCATAGGTCCATCAAGGTTGTTAATGCAGAAAAAGGAGGCAAGGATTGGATAAGGGGATGGATCCAAACTCTACAGCCTGGTACTTATTAATATTGAGAGAGAGTACATTTTCAGAAGCTCTTGGATTCGTGTGATTGAGATTTGAAGGTCATAAGGTGAAATGTAGAGATACAGAAATGTAGGAAGTATCGGTGTAGAGGTGATAAGTGAAATATTTAAGGGTAGTAGGAAGTTACATATAACAACAAAACAGGGAGGGAGATAAACTACAGCCTTGAGAAACACCAGTAACGAAGGGCAGGGGAGAGGAAGGGGGTTTGTCTGGGATAAGGACCATTTGCGAACGGGCTGGGAAGAAGGAATGAAACCATAGAAGAAGACTGTAGGAGAAGGAAAGGAAATTGAGTGTAGAAAGAAGAAGAGAATGGGATGGTGTCAAAGGTTTTAGAAAAATCAAGGAAGACAAATTGCCAATAAAAATTATTCATTTTTTTTAGTAAGTTTAAGGTAGTTTTTAAGCAATTATTAATATCCCAAGGTACACCCATTACTTGAGGACATATAAATTCATTAATATTTTCATAAGGATCGATGTTTAAATATAAATGAAAGAACAAATGATAATTATGCATGTGGCTTTTCCGGCTTAGCGATTTAAATATGGTGCATTTTAAAAAATAGAACACGTGTTTACATCGATCAAAATTGTACACAAAATTTACAAGATGAAATTCACAAAATTTATTTCCAGTATTTTTTTAATGATAGCTTTTGTCTCGGCGCGTAACTGGGATTTCGAGAAATCCATATTTTGCACAGGCCGACTACTGCACGATGTCCAGATGTTGGAGTTGCTTGGCGGCCAAAGGGAGTTCCTCGAGTTAAAGCTAAAGAGATCCGGAGAGGCGGTAATGCGGAGCTACAGAGACTTAAGGCCTAAGATCAAAATCAAACAGCCCGAAGGGAGGGAAGCGTTGAAAGAGTTTATCACGAACAATTTTCAAAACGTGACCACCTTGGAACCGCACGTACCGATCGATTGGAAGTCCCAGTTTCCGTTACTTCACCTGGTCAACGATAATCAAGCAAGAGATATGCTCAGGAGAATGAACAGGAATTTGATCAAGTTCAGTAGGGTGATGAAAAGTGAGGTCAGAGAAAATCTCACCTTGTACTCTTACCTCCCGGTGCCCTTTCCGTTTTTCATCGCCTATTTGAACGAAAATCAGCTTACGTATCGGGACAGTTATTGGGTGATGGAAGCTCTTTTGGCTTGCGACATGTTAAAATCTGCAAAACGGCTCCTATTGAATCTGATCAGTTTGGTGGTCGAGGTGGGTCACGTACCTCCTGAAAACAGGATATTTTTCGTCAACAGGTGTGCACCGCCTATCCTCCCGCTTATGCTGCATAGATACTTCCAGGAAACGAAAGACTTTAAATTCGTGAAAAAATACTTTCGGGCCGTGGAGCACGATTATCTGCACTGGTTCGGAGAGAGGTCCCAGATCGTCCGCACTCCTTTTCACATATTTCTCTGCGTCACCGAAGAGAAGGAACGGCTTCGCTTACCAAGACCGGAAAAATACTTGGAAGACATGACATTCAAAAAGAAGCCGCCGAGGGGTGATCTTGATTTTTCTTTCGTCTGGTGGGACTCTCCACCGCCGGTTTCGACCGTTTCCATACGCAGCACTTCCATCACCGAGTGGTCGGCGAGAGTGCTTGCGGAGTTTTCGAAAGAGTACGGCTCTTACGATCATGTCGACATGTACTACAACATCTCCAAGCAAATGGTCAATACCATCGATAACCTACTTTACACTAGGTACATTACCAATACCACTACATCTAGATTAATTTTGTTATTTGTAAATATTTTTAAGTAACCATCTGCCAATTTAAAGTTCAACATATTTTGTTCTGACTATTCAATAACAACAGATGTTTAAAATGATGTTTTGGGGAAAGTAGTAATGTTGTTACTTTGGGCAGAAACCCCCACTTATTCCATTTCCTCCACTTCTACTGTCTAGCTATCGGGTCTGATGAGCCATTTGATCGCTTGACGTTGTAGAACGAGAGTAATGATTCCACGTTTTTTACCCTGTGACGTTATTATGATTGCCCTCGTCAGATTGGATGGATGAAAGAGAACAGTGACGTCACACAGAAGTCACTACCTCCCCATGGTGGTGGATGGAAGAGAACAGTGACGTCACATGGGAAAAAAGGTGTTGCTACTCTTGTCAACTCCGTGGTGACGAACAAATAGCTCATCAGACAGAGGAGTGGGGTGTCTACCCAAAGAAACTACGTTATTACTTCAGTAGTTATTAACAAAAGCCTTCAAGATAACCTTGGTTCTGCCAATGAGGAATCAAAATACGTTAACTTTACCCTAATTCGCAAAATAAATCGTCCCGTTTATTTCAAACATACCTTATTTTCTGTTTCAAATATTTAAGGTTGTTTGACTGACAAACTACGGGAACGAATTACTCAAAAGTGTTAACCTACAGATACAAAATAGCAAAAAGACTCCTAGACAAACGATTATGACCGACACTTAACAAAACCGGACTATAAAATGCCCTTTCTCTACAGACAAAAATCCTCCGAACTATTCCAGCACGTTTGTCAGTAACCACACCCTTTATTCTGACCTCCAAATTCCTGACGTTGACCTTACCCGCTCCCGATACCTCAAATTGCCAAGTGGCACTACATTCCAACGCTGTAGTCCGTGACCGATCTGCTCGTTCTTTACTCAGCAATCATAGTAGGCGTGACCAGATGCTCATGTAATATCCATCATTTTTTATTTCAAGCAGCCACTGGAGCAGCTTAATGTTGGTAATCGTTAGATGACTGATATCCAACTCTAACAAGCTATGCATTTTTTAGTATCATATCTGCTTGTTTCATCAAATCGTTTACCTTTTTTCTTATAAAGTGACAGTGTTAAATCAATCGAATCTTCTTTAGGCTAGAAAGATCTTTTGAAAATCTGAAATGGCCGATGTTTTTGATAAGAGGCTTTCTTTATCTACAGAGGGTGTCGCATGTTGAAATTACCTAGTTTAGACTAGGAATACAAGGTTTATCAGTGGCACCCAAACAGCTGATAAAAATTACATATCACCCAGTTGTCTGTTTCGTTTTTAAAGCTTTCAACACTTACGTTTTTTTAATTTTTCAGTGAAGGCGGGTGGAAGAGCTTCGATCCGAAGAAAGGTCAAGTCGGGCGATTATCTCTCTGGCCTGTGTACAGTGGGAGCCACGAGCTCATCAATTCAGACGTCTTACCTGACCCGATAACCGCTGAAGAATACCTCATAGCAGTACGGATATTACTGTCGAATGGAAGGGTTAATGACGCTCGTGAGCTCGCGACCAAGTGGGTGCTCATCCAGAGGGGGCAGGCGGACACCAGTCTCATAAACACCTGTGTAACTATACTTATGATAAAACACTTCCCCGAGATTAGCATACCGCCTGAGACAGAAGACATCAACTATCTAAATCCAATCTGCGCAGTCACCTCTATTCTTCTTATACTTTTCAACTTGTACTCTACAATCGAAAAACTAGTTTTGACCATTTTCTAGGCAAAGTATATATACATACGAAAGAATATTTGTTTTATTAAGTTAGATTTAATCAGGGATATCAAAAATATCTTTATTAGATAGTGTAAAGTATATAGAAATAAAAGGTAAAATAATTAGTACTACGATAAATTTAAACTTTCTATTCAATTACGAATTAATTCTTGTTTATCGCGTCAACCCCATTATGTCATTTATAGTTTGGTCGTTTCCGATCATCACGGTCCGCCTAGACTCGCTCTTTTAAAAGCGTTTCGACATTTCGCCATTTCGTGTGTAAGTTTTTAAAAATTGTTCTGTTTTAGAAGTTTTTTATTAAAAGTAATGTATGCTCAAACTGTGAAAAGCCTCGTGCAATCATACAATAAATAATAACAATTCAGAAGATGAAATAAGTAAGAATTGATAAGACTGCAAAAACAAACTTTTTATGTCCATTTTGAACCCTCGTAGCAAAACGGAAGGTGAGTTTACCTTATGTTTCCCCTTTATATTTATTGGGTCGTTGTTGAGAAATCCTGAGACACGTAAACATTTTTGTTTTGTCTACTATCTTATGGAGCAAAAGGTGTAAAGGTGTGTTTTCTAATTTTCCGGGTTAGCCGGATTCCATGCTTAAATTTTCAATTGGCAAGATACTCATGAATGTATTTAAAAAAAAGCTTTTTAGGTATTGAATTCAACTATCAATTCAGGCAACTCAAGTTATTTGCAAAAAATATTTCTGATCATTGTTTTTCGAAAAACTGTGTCTTTTCTAATTTCTTCAATCAATCACTAATTTATTATTTTAATTTTATAGTAAATTAACTTATTTTTCAAAACTTCATAAAAATTCCCTCCAATACCATTGACTAACAAATCGCTATGGATGTAGCTCATTAAAATACCATTCAACCTAGTGCAAATTTTGGTCCACAAACACAAATTTAAGGGAATTAAAGTTGGACAAAAAACCTTACATAAAAATATTCACTAGCCTGGTCTGTTCAATTATTTAAAAGCGTTTCGACTTTGCTCCATCTTTAGTGAGAAACTGGGGATTACACTTATAAACGATTTTCCCATTTGTCTATGATGTTTGATTTATATCTATTTAGATTACCATAGTTCATCATGTCTGACCTTTTACTGCCCAGGCTCGTGAGAATAATTTCCATTATAAAATTCCAAAAATCTTTTTTTTTGTTTTCTAGAATAGTTACTAGTTTATTTAAGCCTAGAACTCATTTAAATCGACTCTTTGTGTCCGAGGCCACCGACTCGCAGACTCTTCATCAAAAACTGTTTTGTTGACGCTTGAGAATTATGAGTAATCTCATTTTCCAAAAAATGATTGAAATTTTTAATACATAATTAATACTTACTTATGTAGGTTGAGATGGGGAGTTGGTGTCCGAGAGGATCGAAGTCATGATAGCTCAAGTGGTAGAGTAGCCGCGTTTTTAGTAGGTCGTGGGTTCGAATCCCGCTGGTTACACTGACTTTTTTTATCTCAACCAAGACCTTACATGGAAAGAATAATTAATTGAAAGATGTAACTTGGTCAATTGACCACTAAAACGTAAATGAGTTAATACTTATCTTGAAACCAACTGTACGAAAGTTTAGTTACTACATTGTGGGACTTAATGTCCTTTTCGTAAAAATATTTCGTACATTACATGAAAAAGTAGAGATGATTCTGCTGTTCGGAAAAAGTGACCGAAATTTGCAACTAGTTATATCGCGTTTTAATGACCTACATCCAGAGCATCCTGTTAATCAATGTTATTTCAGAAAATTATTCCCAATTTTTTCTTTCTGTACCAGTATAGTAATTTATTGTAAATTAAAATGGTAAAAAAATAAATTTTTGATTTTCCAAATTAAAAACCGTTTGAACATTTAAGCGCTTAAATAACTTTAAAAAAATGTACATTATTATGAGTGCCTTGCCATTTGGAATAGTGAAGCCCCTATTTGTATCCCGTTATCCTGAAGAGTTAGATCAAAACTTATTGCTTCATGAAAAACTAGACAAAAATAAAAATTTACTTATCTGAAGGTTTTTCCCAAAAATGCCTCAATAAAAAGATGTAGAGGTGAGAAATTAATCTCAATGTTTTTAAATCATTCCTTATGACCGACCACAGGAATGGCATAAGCTATTGCAGTAGTAAGTAAAAATATGAAATTTTGTATGTTACCGTGCAAATCGCAACGCAAAGCAGTTCAGCTGCGATGCTCTGTGAGAAAGGTGGGGTCTATACAGCAATGTGTTCATTAGGAACCAAAGACATATTTTAAATCACCAACCTGAGGATGTTGCCAGATGATAATATAAAGCAAACTGATTGAATCGAATTATAAAGAACTGACAATCAGACTGATTCCCCCTTCATCGATACAATTTTTTTCAACAAAATGCAAGATTTTTGGCCTTCCGGAAGCGCAATCGATAAAGTTGGGTATACCGCTGGAAGCTAATGGAATCTGGAACTTTTAAGTGAATTTGCAAAGCTCCACCAGTTTTTATTTAGTTATTAACAGTTACCAAACCAAGATTTTCAAAAAATTCCAAATTTCAACATTTTTGTTTTTTCTGTATTTTTCGCGAAGAACTTTTCCGTCAAGTTTGCAATAGAAATAAGTTTTCTTACAGAAAATTTAACTTTCTTTCTGATGGTACAAACCAAATTTTTCTACAGTAAGTAATTCTGAAGTTCACAAGCAATTTAGTGGACATAAGTCGGAAAAAAACCAAGACCTTAAATTACTTAATAAATACATTCGCTCTAAATGTACACAAAAGTAACACTCAAAAATATCTACCAAGCAGGGTGGTGGAGTACTCGATTCATACATACTGGGCATGTTGATACCTAATCAAATTGAAATTCGATGTGCATTCAATATTCGACCATAGTCTCACACTACCCATTTGAACGGCTTTATGAAGACTGAACCAAAAAAAAGAAAAGAAAATTTTTATCATTAATTCACTTATTAATACACAAAGATAGATTGCCTTACACAATTACATTTAGACTTTTAGCGAGCTGTAATTACAATTTTGACAAAATCGTTCAAGAATCAGAATGTGTTCGTGAAGGCACTGCAAAAACATATTATGTAATATCTTACTAATTTATTTGTAAGGAATGATTCAACTAAATTGTTTCAAGTTTACAATTTAACAGTAATGGGTATAAAAGAGTTTTCCTTTCAGAACTTAAGAATAAATTCAGTTATAGAAGATAGTCACAAAAATCAACGCCACCTAATGGAAAGGATACTCGTAGGTTATAATCTTATATCAGTCCGAACTGATGATTGTGTCAGAGTTTTTGGAACAGTAATTTTGGCTTAAGCCAAAATCTCTCTTAAGAGAGATTTTTGTACCTAACTCATTGTTGAAGGTTGTCAATTTAATGTTTGTGTGGTTTGTTTTTCTGTACATATTTTAATGATTAGTTTATTACTCGAACCTCTGCTACTTTTAATGGTTTTAGGTCATGTTTCTTATTTTGGTCATTGATATACATCTGGGTCCGATGTGTATTTTCCTGCCATTTCGTACTTTAAAACATGATAGAATTAAAGATAAATTAAAATCCAATATATTTAGGGGTCTATTGACCAAATAATTGTTTCAATTAATTAATTTTTATGTGAGATATTGGTTGAAATGAAAAAGCTAGTGTCACGAGGGAGATTCGAAACCACGACCTTCGGATAAGTACTCCGCTGATGTACCACTTGAGCTGTCGTGACGTCGATTGACTTCGATGTTGATGTTCGAGTGGATCAAAGTCACGATACCTCAAGTGGTAAAGCAGCGGAGTATTTAGCCGAAGGTCGTGGTTTCGAATCCCGCTCGTGGCACTTTTTCATTTCAACCAAAACCTTACATAAAAAAGATTAATTAATCGAAATAAGTTAAAATAGTCAAATATTAACAAGTCCATCTGTATACTCGATGGAATATGTAGCTGATCGAGGGAAAATATTATGGCAGGATATCAATTTGGATTTTTCATTGATTATGCTTTCTTACCTGAATATTTATGAAGTTTACTATTTTATCTTAAAAATCGTTCAGTTCTTATTTCTTATACTGACTGAAATACTTCTATATTCGTCGCTTCAGATTTTACAAAATGTACATTTAACTTCCAAGACTGTATATCAATATATTTAATATTGAAGTAAAGTGATCAGGGATGAAGCCATGTAGGTCAAAAAAACCAACTTGTTTTTCTGCTATCGAGTTTTCGGCTGTACTTGACGCCTTCCTCAGGACTTTGAAAAACTATTTAAAAAAACTTTACAATCAGTTCGGACATGTTGTCGAAATAGAAGGTTTAAAAAAAAATAGTTTTTTAAAGTCCTGAGAAAGGCATCAAATACAAGCTCAACAGCAGAAAAACAAGTTAGCTTTTTTCATCTACATATGGCTTCATCCCTGATCACCTTACTTCAATATTTTTCATGAAGGCAGATAGTATACTCAACAATACATTTAATGTGTATTTTATTGTCTATCTGTCCATATTTGCCCATCTCATCTGAAACGTAGCAAAGATGGAGAAAGCTAAACGCGTCTGACGTATCTAAACAGCGAGACTAGACGGACCACAACGATCGGAAGTGACAGGTTCATCACCCCGCAGGGCCCAAGGATAAATCTCTCGATTCTGCTATTCTTCAGCAGTTTTTTTCCCCGGAGTCGGACATTTTTAGGGCCAATTATAAATAATGGCTGGGCATAGGCGCCGGATTAGCCCGAGAGGGATGAAAGCGGCCGAGAGACCCCAGAATGTTCATTGCAAGGATGTACGCCGAACAGAAAACTAACGGAGAGCGCGACTAAAGGCGATCCACTGATCCCGATAATGATGACCGGCAAAGAGAAAGGCCCATTTATTTTCCAGGGCGTCTCGTACTCGATCCAGATTAGGAGTTTGGCGCCGCTAAAATCCAAAGCACAAGTTGGTCGTCCTTGTCCGAGGTACGGTTTATAACAGGCTTGAAGTGACAACTG